AGTGAGCAGACATGCTTCTATTATGTAAAAGTTCTCATTAAATATATTTTATTATTTTTTGTGTATAAGTGTATTGCCTACATGTATGTAAGTGCACCTGTACATGCAATGTCTGCAGAGGTCAGAAGAGGTCGCTGGATCCCTTGGAACTGGAGTTACTGAGGATGGTTGTTAGCCACCATGTGGGTGCTGGGAACCGAACCTGGGTCCTCTGCAAGAGCAACCAGTACTCTTAATCACTGAGCCATCTTTCCAGCTCCCAAGAGTTTCTCCCTCTCTCTCTCTCTCTCTCTCTCTCTCTGTCTCTCTCTCTCTCTCTCTCTCTTTACAAAATGGGAAAGGTACAGAGGAGCTCAGAACTCCAGATGAAGCTCAGGAAAATGTAACAATTGTTCCCTGGACGCTTCCTTAGTCTTCTATGACTTCTAATCATCTTCAGAGCCGTGCCATGAGCAGGAGTGAAGTGGGCACTGGCCTTGCACAGGCCGTTCATTATTATTTCAGAAGCACGTATAGCCCAGTCCTAGCTCAGCATATGAGTTATTATCATTATTGAGAATTCAGGCTTATAAACGTTTGAGTAGATGAAGGAGGGAGGTGTGGAGTGTACCTCATTTTCTGTGTGGACGGGGAAAAGACTCTTTGGGATAGTTCCTCCACTGAAATAAAATCCAACCGTTTATTGAATTTTGTTGTGATTCAGAGTAAAAGGCCTAGCGCTGTTCCCAGGTGCCCGTGGAACAGCAAGAGAGTAAACATGCGCTGAAGCTTCACACTTCACCCTGGGAAGGTCATTTGAACCCACGTTTCATAGCCGGCTTCTGTTCCTAGAGAATGCATCATCTCTGAGATTTTCTTCTCTATTTTCCCCAACACTGAATTCCTCTTTATCAGCCCCTTAGATCCAGCCTTTCCCTCTTCTTTCAGTTCTTCAACAAAATATATCCACATTGACTTCTGAAAAAATAAAACTGACATTAAACAGGCCACAGCACACGTACACTTACAAATTGAAGATTTATTTGGTGGGTTGTGGAGAAGAGGATGGCACCAGCTCTGCTTCCCATTTCCTTGTGTCTGATGATCTCCGTTGGTTCCCAGAAAGCACTGCTCCCAACACATGCTCTACCTAACAAGCCTCTCCACCAAGGGGAGTCTAATCTCTCCCTTTTGACACAAACATGCTGGTGGATTTTTAAAACATACATCAGGAAATAATAGTGGACTTACAGAGGGTTGGGAAAGACTGAGAAACATCACCAAGTAACTTAGGGTTTGACAGCAAGCAGTTCAAGTGTCAACTGAAGTAGGAGTATTGTGTCCACAATTTTAAACTTGTATACAAATTTCTCTGGAAAAACCAGATCTCCAACTGTGTGATAGACAATAAGACATCCTTTAAAAGCTTCCATGATATCTTCTGGTCCAGGAAGTTGTTGCTTAAAGAAAAGAGACTTTGAGAATCAGAACTATAGTTTGTGTATTTAATTTAAGCATAAGACACACCATGTATAAGAAATGCAAACTATATATAGCGTCGATTAAAAACAAACCTTTTAGGAAATTAGGCAATTGTGGTTAATATTAAAATGCTCATTTTCTTCACTTTAAAATACCATATGCTTGTAAATACATTTTACTGATTAATTTTATTCTTTGACTATTTCAGTTATGTGTATAATGCATTCTAATTACTCACAACCCTGGCCTTCCTTCCTCCCCTGGTGAATCCCTTCTCCTAGCTCAAATCCCTTTCTGATGCTTATCTCTTTATTTTCCTCTGTGACCCACTGAGTTTAACCAGGGTTGCTTGCGTGACCATGAGTTTGGAGATATCCATTGAGCCTGGTGGGCTCACCAGTGAGTTACAGCTCAAGACGATAACTTCCTCCCTATTTCAGAATCTATCAGTAGCCAAATAGTTCGGCAGGGGCAGGTAGCACCCCCATGAGCCCCTCCACCATCTGTGACTGATTGTTGACTGAACCAGTCTTGTGCAGACCCAACAACAGTAACTACAGCAGCAGCTGTGAGTTTATGATTGCAAGGGCTGGGTCCTGCCCAGATGGCATCTCGCAGTCCTCCTCCATCTTCTGGCTCTTACTTTCTTTCTGACCTCTCTCTGATGTTCCCCGAGCTTTACAGGGAGGGCTATAAATTCTTGTTCAAAGCTGAGCCCTCAACAAAACCTTGAGCAACAGTGAATCTGCATTCTCCAGTGTCTTCTGCAAAGAGAGGCTTCTCTGGTTAAAACTGAGAGTAGGTTTTGTCTCTGGGTATAAACATTGATATTTAGAAGGCAGTTTGACACTATGCCAAATAAACAGCAGTGGTAAGTTCCCATCTTGGGTCTGTGGGATCTATGACTTCCCCAGCCCTCCGTTTTTGACTTGGATTATTGTACCAGACATGGATTCTTTCCTGTGGAAAGGGCCTAATACAACCTGAGAGTGGTTGGTTACATCCACAGCAGAGCTTGGTAATAATTTTACAAGCATATGCATATGTGTATTTATATTTAAACTGCAGAAAAGATGTTTTAATATTGTACCTTATATATAAATTAGAAAGCAGTCATCATAGGATGTTTATTATCGTTTATGTCTATGTACACACTATACAGTTCTTTGTAAGATGTAAATAAAGGGGCTGGGGAGGTGGCTCAGTTGCTAAGTTCTTCTACACAAACTTGAGGACCTGAGCTTGGGTTCCCATCACTCACATTAAGAAAACCTATCTCTGGGGAGGTGGAGACAGGAGATCTCTGGGGTTTGCTAGTCACCCTGTCTAGCTGAATACATGAGCTCCAGATTCTGTGAGAGAAAATAAGGTGGAGATACCCATTGTTAACTTCTGATCTCCACATGTAATCCACGTGTGCACTTGTGCACAGATTCATACGTATATGAACATGTTTACATGAAACAACAAACACCCCCACACTGGATTACAAGACCATTTAAACAAGACGAAGATAGTATTTAATTTGGAAGGAAAAGATGAAGCATTTTTTGCCACTTGGTTTATTCCATAAATTATTTCAAAATAGAAATGACAAAAATATATTACCTAAAGCTGGACTTGGGGTATAGTGCCTTTTTGGTTTAATGTTTGGGTCAAATGCTTTGATAATATTTGAATTTATTTCATATAACCTTTCTGACTGTGGCAAACATATCAGCTGAATAATTATCACCAAGTCTCTTCCTTCCTGTCTGTCTGCCTTCCTCACAGTGTCTGCTGGCTGCCCTCTGACCATTTCCTCTGTGCTCATAAGGTAATCAAAGTTGTTCTGGGTGTCACCAACAGCAGGAGAAAAGGACTTTGGTTTGGAGGGTGAAAAACTTTGCTAGCAACCACAGACCATCTTTCCTGCCATGCCACACCACTGGCTAGATACAGATACCATACAGCTCTCAAATCATTCCCTTCACAGGTGATGACATCGTCATGAATGGCATAGCTCATCAGGATTGATCTGACTTTGGGCACACCACATTTCTCTCCAGAGTTGCTCTATGGCAAACACCAAGAGAGTTGTGTGAAGCAAAGAAAAATATGATTGACTGTGGAGCAGAAAGTCTTCTTGGAGAAATGATAGTGTCAGACTCCAGCCCAGGGACTGTGAACTCAAGTCACACATTGGAACCAGCCAGGAAGTTTCTAAAAATATAAATTAATGGGTCTGGAGTTATAGATAGATATTGACATTTAGAATAAAGTTCATGATAATTTTGATAGATAGCTAAATTTGGAAGCTACTATTTTAGAGGCACTGAAGATAGAAATGTGAACCTACACAAATTTAGGGCCTCAAGCAGTTTTGTTTATGAACTTGGCTGAAGCTGAGTCTCATTTTGTGGTGAGAGAATTGATCTGGAAAGGCCTGCTCACTGAAGAGATAGACATCCTCAGACAAGTTTTCATCTGTGGCTGCTACTTTTATTCTTCTTTCGAGAAGGATGTTATTGACATGATCAAAGCAAAGCTTTATCCGTGTAATAGCTACAATTTATTGACAATCTACGATGTATCAGGTGCTTATTCTCAAGAAGTATGTACAGCCAATATTATCGGTTTAGAGATAAGAAAATTGCAACCCAGAGGTTTTGCTGCTTCTTTCACCTATCAAATATTCCATTTGTTTCTAGAATTGAGAATATTTACCTACGGTGCTATGGCGTCGTTTGTCACGTGTGACTTGCTGAGTTTACCAGTTTAGTAGCTAACTGTTGACTAACAAATGCTCATTGCTGGGTGGTGTTTGTGGAAGGGTTCCATGTCCCCTACAGGTTAGTTTATGTTTTTTTCAGAAGTGAGCTGTACTACTGTGCCAGACACTTAACATGAGATCCAAGAACGATCACATGATCATACAAAGGGGAGTCTTTAGATTAATTACAAAGACTAAAAAGATGCTACCTTGCCAACAATTTTCTTTTCCTTAGTAACACAAGATATAGAAATCGAAATGGTAAACACTAGAGCTAAATTTGTTTCCCCACCTATCTCCAAACTAATATTTGGGTTACTAGAGAATGTGCCTGTGTTTTTCAGTCACATCCTTGCTGTGGTGGCCAGTTAATGAAGAGGCAATTGGTCTGCGTGGGTGGAATTCATTGGACATTCCTTTGGAATGTTTTCTTCTACTTGAGATGTAGAGAAATAAACTAGGCAACTTCTGTTAATGAATGGATGGTTTGATTTTTCTTACGGATAACATTTTCTACTGAGTCATGATATTGAAAATGAAGGCGGAACCCCTTGTTGGGTAGAAGTGTTAGAGTAGCTGGAATGTAGAATCTCATTAAAGCAGCTGTCAGGATCCCTCTATTTTACAACCATCTCTACCCCATTCTGAAAGAAGCAACTGTCCTTTTGAATGAGTGCCCTGCCATAGAGGCATTTACAAATAAATGAAAAATGTCACAATTGATTTCACTTCCCAAGAATACTATGTGTCAGTGATGCCACAAACTCTCTTTGCTACTCTGTTTCAGATCTCTTGGTTGGACGTTGGAAATAGCTTCTGATGGCCTAAGGTCTCTTTCTTCTGACCCCAGGTGAGCCCTCTATTGCTGACCTTTTATAAATATTTGTAAAGCCATTTGAGAAGTTAAAGAAAATGAAAAACTGCTTTCTCCCTCCTCTTTATGTAATTGCTGTTTTTGTCAAAAAACATTCTGGTGACAGTTGTGTGCTGTATTTTGCTTGCTTTGGAGCCATCTCATATTAGAAGGCACTGGAAAATTGTACAATTATATTTCACATTCCTTTCCCTAGTACACATTGTAGGTATGCTTAATTGAACAAAACAAATAAAAATGTCTCTTGCAAAGAAGACAGGTCAGGATATGCCTTTATATTTTGAATGTTCTCAGTGTTAGCTTATCTTGACTATGTGGCAGTCCTATAACTTAGAGGTAACATCACTGATTTTATATATATACATATGTATATATATTATTGTCTTAATTATAAGCTGATTGCCACCATACCAATATTATTGAGAGTTTACTGAAACCACATACCACATACTGTGGTAAGGAATCATATCAATTAGCTTATGTCAATGTATTACAGTGGTGCTTAGAGTCTCAGTTAATATGGATTTTGAAGAAAGATACTAATTAGAAATTACTAGCAGTTTTATGGATATTAAAATGAAAGGAAATAAATCTTCACATAATTATACTTAAAGAGATTTTAATCAGTATAATTAGCTTTAGATTGTGCTGTCTTTGGGGTTATTTTGCTTTCTGCTGTTGTCATGAAAGACCATGGAATGGAATACGAGGGAGAGCTGGCCAAACCAATGATCTCCAGATAGGATGGCCGACCTCCAGTGGATGAATTTGTACCAAAGGCCATCTGGTACAAATGCTTGGCTGGATAGGACTTAACTGTGCAGAATATATGTGGTCCAGTGGCAGGGGGCACATATGGGGGAAATGTCTGAATTTGATTAAGAACTGTTGTATGAAATGTACAAAACTCAATACAAATTTTTTAAAAGCTCATGGAACAGGACAATTTGCACTATATATTTTTCCTCATAGATAAATACAACTTTAGTCAATTTGTTCACACAGTCAAGAAGTATTTACTCACATTATTAAGTGCCAGGCACTTTGAATTGAGGACTTGAGGCTGAAGGATATGTACTGCTCTATATATAGCCTCTCAAAGCTTTAGGGTCCAGAAAGACTCAGTCAAGAGGCAGAGCAGAACTTGTAGAGCAGCATGTATAGTATGGGGTACATTAGAAGTCAGGCGGGCACCCAGCCCAGTGGAGCGATGTTGCTTAAGGAGTGACGCCGTAATAAAAATAAAGGCTGTTGCATTCTGATTATAAAGTAATTCGTGGTGTCTGAAACAACATCTATGGCAGGTGTTCTAGCGTGTAACCTTACAGAAGCAGGGTGGGGCACATCCGAATGAGCCACATTTAAGAACTCTGATAGCACCGAGAAACATAGGCGCTAAAACATAAAGATGGCATAAATCATCAAAGATGGAAAGCCAGGCTGTGGAATTCTGACACCGCCAGCTTACTGTTTCTAACATGCAGGAAAAGCAGACCATGCCTCCTCCTTCACATGCATATAAATAGAAGGTACTCCATAGAATGTGGGTCTCGGCAGGCAGGATGAATTCGCTTTGATTTGCCAAGATCTATTTCAATGCTTTGCACATTTGCAGGTTCTCAATATTTATAGCAAGGGATCCTAAAATTGAATTTAAAACGCTAGAACACAGGTAGGTTGAACCAAGAGAGGCTAATTAATGCTTGGCTACTTATGAATAATATTCTGATCTAGTTGTCACAGACGAAAATTTCTTTCCATGGCCCTTTTTCTCTTTTCGATTTCCAATCAGGGCTTCTACTAAAGGAAATCAGTATGAAGTGCTATGTTCAAAATAAATAATTTATAAATAATTATATGTCAGTAAAATGTCACTAAGCGAACTGGAAATGGTTTGGAACAAAATTAAAATAAGTGGAGAAAATTATTTTAGGAAAAGAAATAATAATCTAATTTTGTTTATTAAATTCTAGAAAATATATGTAAATACATTATAAAGGATTTTATCTGTATGAGAAAAATGAAATAATTGCATTAATTGGGTATTATAAGATAACATGTTTAGAGAAAATTATTTTCTTTTAAAGCCACATAAGGAGAGGGCTTTAAGATATGTCAGTATAATTTACAAATTCAAACATCAAAAAAATTAACAATGTCTGTTATTAAATACTGTGGAATAGATACTTTGGGCTTACTTAAACTGAAAATGGATCCTGTTTACTTATCATTTTAAATTTTCCATTGTAGAGACTACTATAAGATATCTTTTAGGGGTTATTTCTTTAAAAACGTGCTGCTTTACTGAGATTTTACCAGTAGCATTAGAATTTTTTGAATATTTGTCTGTGTGTATGTTTGTATATATGAATATCTCTGTGTATATGAATATTTGTATGCATATGAGGGTGTGTGGGGTGTGTGTCCACACAAATTACGGAAGCATTGTGAATGCTTATCTGAGGCTCTATAAAGTAGCATATCAGTTCCCTTTCCTGTTTTTCAAGTGGCTTAGGAAAAAAAGGTCATAAGCTGCAGTTTCATTAATTTCATTAGTTTTGTTAGGTCATTTAATTTTGTTTTCCTAAGAAAACAACTTTCAAGAGTCACAAAATCTAGACATCTGCAGTAGTGCAGCAGTAAAGAACACATGGGCAAGGACTCCAGGAAGTAGGGAGCACCTATCAGACTCCGAGCACAGTCATTGCCTTGCTGTCCACAGCGATCTGTCAATGTTTGGCCAATTGAGGAAGAGACGTTCTAGAAGTGATGTTTTGGAGTAATAAACATTTATCAAGCTATCCATCAGTCAAAATAAAGGTTAATAATGCCCAACTTTTAAGAATGCAGGGAAATGGGGAAATATGGAAGAAGCAAGAGAAACTGAGCAGGGAAGTGTTGATTGCTGGTGTTCTATAACACAAGGCCAACCGTGGGGAATGTGAAGGGCATTTGTGCACCCAGCCAGCCACTATATACCTCCAAGGTCAATGTTTGGCCCACACTGCCTTATGGCATCAGATTGCTCGAGGAGCCGTTCACTTACAGCCTGCAGCCAGCCTAAGTGAGATCACTTATAAAAGAGATGGCAACGTTTGAACCGTAAAAGTATTTTAACGATCTTCAAAATCCAACAAATGTATTTTTAGTAAGAGTACAACACTCTGCTTTTAACAGTGAGTTTGTGATAAATGAAATAACAGTTCATGTCTTTTGATGTAACAAGAGCCCCCCAAATCATTCACAAATCTACAACACTTTATTAGATATGTAATACTTTTTAACACTAAATAGGAATTTCAATAAATAAGACAGATGATTATTTCAATTACTAGAAGAAAAGAGAATTCATATAAATCAGAAAGAAATCTATTAATTCCTTATATATTTGGTTTAGGAAATTTAACCCAAAGTTCACCAAGTGTACAGAGAATGAGAGGGACCAAGGGAGACAGAGAGAAAGAGAAGGGAGAGGAGGCACTGGGGAGGGGGAGAAGGAAGGAAGAAAGGAAGGAGAGAAAGAAAAACAGGGAAGAATGGCCAAAGAGGTGCAGCCAGGCTGTCAGCAGGATGCGTGAGCAGTGCTCCTCGTCCAGGCTGGCTTCTGAGGGGCAGGTGGTGGTCACAGTGTGAGGTGCAGGCTTCTGTTTCGGGGTCATTTCTGATGCATAGTCTGTCTGTTACTGTCTGTCTTCAGTGTCCACCTCCTGATTCTGACAGCACCTGCTCTATAGCATTTTCTTGGCAGGAAGCCTTAATGTACATTTTAACAAAATTCTGTGCCAAATTTTCTCTTTAAGTTGCTAAAGGTAATTGTATAAAAATCATGCAGAGCGAGTGGGACAAAACAGAACCGTTCCCTGAAAACCTCGGCAGTGAAGCTCAAGGCGGGGAGACTTGGGAATCACACACAGCATTGGAAGCTGGCTTGTTGACGAGGAAAACTTGAACTTGATTTTGATTGTTTCTTCAAGGAGGTGTGAATCATCACTGCATTCATGTTAGTCCAATTCTGTCTCTGTGTCCTTTATGCAGCTGCGCTACTTTCTAGGAGCAGAGACAAAGGCAGTTCTTTGCTTTAGGACAAAGATTCTTCCAGTCAGATGGTGCACCTCTGAACACCTGTTGCCTGGAGACTGCCGAGTGTTCATGTGGCTCTTCTGAATGAGAGATATTTTACATTTATCTAAAATAGACTAAGTAGCTTTAGCCCATCCATGTAACTTTTAACAGAGAAAGAAAGGGAGAATTAAATCAAAACTGGGCCAGGAATGGCAGTTTCCGATTCAGGCCCATGTTTGTTTTGGTGGACGGGGGACTTGGCACCCAGCAGAACCACAGCATTTCACATTTCTTCCTCTTGTGATGGTATTCTTCAAACTCGTAGACACTTCCTGAGTGTTTATTACCAGAGTATTTAAATTCAGGTAGCACAAATTTCAGAGACGTCTTTCTGAAGACCCTTCCTATCAATATAGTCCATTTAATTTTAATTGGATTTCATTTTAATTGCAAAGGAAGCAAAATGTAAATTATGAGGAAAACTTAGTGACAACTTCCGATAATGCAATGTTGGATAAGCAAACGTCTGAATGATCTTTTAAATCCTATACCTATTTAACTTCCTCTAATTACAGAATGAGAGAATAGGACAATCTGGTGAGATATGTGGGAAAGCAGAGACTTAAGGCAAAAGGATAAAAAGTGATTATAAGGATCAGAAAGGTTAATAGTCAAGGGATGTGATAGCTTTGTGAGTACAATGTATTTATTTAGTAAATTTAAAGTGGGTTAATCAATCAGTCAATCAATCATTCACCGAGTCTGAATGAGTGGCATGTGCATTAAATGCCCTGAATTTATGAAGACTTTTTAAAATAGTTCATTGAAAAGCATTGACTGGGCTGGTGATGTAGCTCAGGTGTTAGAGGCACTTGCTTCATCTTTTTTTTTCTTTTTTTTTGCTACAAATTAAT